CTGATTCTTCCCCCAACAGCTGACTCCAAAGTGGAACAAACCAGTTATGTTGGTGCTAAGATGGTCTTTTTGGCAACGCCCCCTCCTCCATTGCCAGCCCTCTTCATTGTTGACAGTCTTGTCAAACTGGTTGAAAACAACAAAAGTCCATGCTCAATAATCCACGACTGTCAACAAGGAAGAGGGCCGGCAATGGAGGAGGGGGTGTGCCAAAGAGACCATCTTAGCACCAACATAACTGGTTTGTTCCACTTTGGAGTAAACTGTTGGGGGAAGAATCAGTTTTGTTGTGTGTTTCCTTGACTGATGAAGCCTTCCGGATCGAAGGTGAAACATTTCAGCACAAAAAAATAAACTGTCCAGATGACCTGACTGAAAAATGTTGGATTGTAATCCTGGATTGTTGAGCATGGACTTTTGTTGTCAAATGTTGTGGAGTTGAGATGGAAAAGTTGTCACCCTTCTTCCTCTATCTCATCCTTTGTTACTGCTACAAACTTCTACCCTGAGGTTGTTAGACTCATGAATCTCTAGTCAGGATGATCACTGTGAATAATCACTGTGATGTCACTTGATTGTTGATGTGTGCTGCTGACTATCCATGCTTCTGATCTCATGCTACTGATTTATTTCATGTTGCTGTGTTCATTAGTCCTCATCTGCTCACACAGACTCATGTTCGTGCTGCTGTTGTTTGGTGCATTGTTTTATACTAGTAGTGCTTAGTGTATTTTTAATTTAGTGTATTTCTTAGTTCATATCTTATTATGGTTTTTCTTTGCAATTTGTATTTTTGTTGGATGTAACTGGGACCCTGTGTACATAGTTTTGTTCCACCTCATGTACCACATGTGATGTGAATGACAGTAAAGACACCTTGACCTTGAGAAGTGAAAGAACAAATGATCCTTCATAGTATCCTCAGTAAAATGCTTAGCCCCCACTTAGCACCTGCAGAAAAATATCTCTGGAGCTGCCACTGGTCCAGGGGTATTCCTGACCAGATGCTTGAGCCACCTCAACTGGTTCCTCTTGTTGTGGAGGAACAGTGGTTCTAGTCTCTTCCATATAAATGAACTCACTCTGTCACTTAGAGAGAGTCTTGTGAAGAAAACTCATTTCAACTTCCTCTATCCAAGATATCATTTTTTTTCAGTCACTGTCCAGAGTTCATGACCACAGGTGAGGATAGGAACGTGGACCACAGGTGTGGATACGTGGACCACCAGGTAAATAGAGAGCTTCACCTTACAGCTCAACTCCCTTGTCCCAACAAAGAACTGGTACAGAGTGAAACCATATGGATCTATCTGTCCATCTCATACACCATTTCCCCCTCACTTGCTGCTTTTTGTCCCTCTGTTTTTGAATAAAAGAACAAACATGCAAATGATTTGCTGCGCAGGAACTTTAAGGCTGTTAATGGCAGTTTAACACTGCCATTGTTTCCAATTTGTGTCCTGAACTTATAACGTAAATGGCAGAAGAAAATCAATCAATCAGTATATTTTTTAAATAACTACGATTTTAAAGTACAGTTGTATGTTGTAGGTATGGAAGCCCATTTCCGCCATGAAAGAAAAAATAAAAGCCCAACAGGAAGTCATTATTACGACTTTCAAAATCATAATTTTGAGTTTTAAAGTCATAATTATGAGAATAAAAGTAATAATTTTGAGTTTTTAAGTCATAATTACGAGAATAAAAGTCATAATTATGAGTTTTAAAGTCATAATTATGAGAATAAAAATTATAATTTTGAGTTGTAAACTCTTATTTATGAGAATAAAAGTCATAATTATGAGTTTTAAAGTCATAATTACAAGAATAAATTCATAATTATGAGTTTTATAGTCATAATCATGAGACTAAAAGTCATAATTATGAGAATAAAAGTAATAATTTTGACTTTTAAAGTCATAATTTTGACTTTAAAACTCAATTATGACTTCCTGTTGGGCTTTTATTTCATAGCGGAAATGGGCTTTGATACTAAATGCTATATAAAGTGGTGATGAAAGATGTATATATTACACACCTTTATTTAAAAGGACTGACAAAGGCAGAGGGACATACATTGAATGAATGTGCTATGCAGGAGAACTACAGGTGTCTCACAGGAAGTTGCAAGGGACAAACCTCAAAATTAAATTAGAGAAGTCGAAATTATGACTTTTTAACTTGAAATTACGACTTTTATTCTCATAATTATGACTTTAAAACTCGAAATTATGACATTTATTCTCAGAATTATGACTTTAAAACTCGAAATTATGACTTTTATTCACATAATTATGACTTTAAAACTCAAAATTATGACTTTTATTTTAATAATTATGACTTTAAAACTCGAAATTATTACTTTTATTGTCAGAATTATGACTTTAAAACTCGAAATTATGACTTCCAGTTGGGTTTTTCTTTTTCTTTCATGACGGAAATGGGCTTAAATATCTAGCTGTTGGACACGCGCTTGTTTTGTATTTTTTACAGTGCACTGCTCAGACCAGGGGGCGGGGCTTCAGAACTGGAGAAGGTTTCCCTCCGAGCCAGAAAGCGCGCGTTCGTTCGAGCACGTTCGTCTCTGCGTGCGCGAGCGCGTGTCGAGTCAGCTGGTCGCTGTGGCGTGCTCGTGTTGTGCACGTCGTGGGGGGACAAGGTGAGGAAGGCTCGGCGGCGGACAGTTTTCTGGGGTGGGGGGTGAGAACAGTTCGTACCGAGTCTCCGCCGCGGACAGTCGAGCCTCCTGACCCGGACCCGCCTGGAGCCTCCTCCTTCAGAACAGTAAGCACTTTGTTTGTGTTTCCGAACTACGTCTCCATATGGCTGCTAAACCGTGTAAAAGTGCACTTTACCGGTTTTATTGTCACGAACGAGGCTGACCCGTTTTAGCCTTCGTCGCAGTTTTTGAAGGCGTCACGCATGAAGCTGCTCCAAACAGAAACATGTTCATGTGAAGGCCACCATTTTTAACAGAAACTCCCGAACTACCTGGCTGGTCACGTGCTGTGGTCCTGGTGGGTGAGTCAACATTATCCGTGCACATGGCTGATGCTGCACCGCCGATTGTCAACTTTGTGAAGGAGAAGCTGCGTGTTGTGCTCCTGCATGCTGGCCCTCCCTGTAGGTACACACGAGGGGATCGAGTAACAGAGGAGCTCAGTGCTGCTGACTAAACACTCTGGATCACAAAAACAAGCAGCAGCTAAAGTCTGAAGAAGGCCCAGGATTCCTTGAAGGAAATCTTATTTATAAACTAGACTTTAATCATGTTGAGGTTGTTAATCAAACCTTGAAAATAGTCCTATGTGCCTTTTTTTGTTTGAGGAGTAGATCATGACTGAGCTGCTGCTTCAGTTCAATATTTATCAAATGAATAGTTACATGAGCATAGTCGTTTTTGTGTTGGGAAAGGTTGATCAGGCGGCCAGTTTTAACTCCAGAAAGTTAGCTGTGTTATGTTGGGCAGAAGTGGCTGAGTGGTTAGAGCAGTGGTCCTCCAATGGTAGAGTTGGGGGTTTGATTCCACCAGCAGTCACATGTTGAAGTGTCCCTGGGCAAGACACAACCCCTCATTGCCTCTGATGTGTGCCCCATTGGTGTATGAATGTGA